TGATACCCAGCATTATGTCTTCAAATTCCCGTATAGTAATATACTAAAAATAAATATATCTATATCTCTTGTGAGAGTGTGATTTCCCAGAAGTATTATATATTTTTAAGGGGGAAAACACCACGGCTGCTCAATTTTAAAACACAGTAACTGCAAAATTTTTATACCTGATTTTTTTTTAGTATTGCTGCATTTTTTATAACTTTTAAACCTTAATTTCAAGTATTTTTTCTTAAAAATATTTATATTTGAATATAGTTTCTAGTCATAAATCAAATTTGTCATTGATTTGGCGGGCAAACTTTTTTTTAATAAAAAAAATTGAAAAAAATTTTTAAATGTTAGTTACTGTGTTTTGAAATTGAACAGCCGACCACTGTGACGATTGAAAAAAAGAGGTGATTTTCAGGAATTTTTTTGACAGGGAAAAATAAAGGAATTAGGGAATCGGATTTTTTTTATTTTATTAAGGGTACATTAAAGATTATTACCCTAAATTTTTATTAAAAAATGTTTAATTATTACAAAGTTATTAACAATCTTCAAGAGCATTAAAAAAAATTTCCCCCTCCATGGTCGGTTCCATAACTCAAAAACAGATCATCTAAAAATAAAAAGCCAAATTGTTTTTTAATCAGTAAGGATGTAGTTATCGTCGCACGTACGGAATTTTGAAATTTAATTTTTAAAAACGGCAACTGATTGAAAATTTTCTCACTATTCTTACTGTTTTTTTTGTTTTAACCCGGCTAAAAATTTTCAAATTCCGTACGTGCGACAATAACTACATTCTTACGGATTAAAAGGCAATTTGGGTTTTTTTATTTTTAGATGATCTGTTTTTGAGTTATCGAACCGACCGTGGAGGGAGGAAATTTTCTCCAGTGCTCGACGAGATTGTTAATAACTTTGTAATAATCAAATATTTTTTAATAAAAATTTAGGGTAATAATCTTTAATGTACCCTTAATAAAATAAAAAAAATCCGATCCCCAAATTCCTTTATTTTCCCTGTCAAAAAAATTCCCCCTTAATAAATCATATGCCTTTAACCTGCATAACTACTTGCTAGAACTCTACAAAACCAGAGCTTTCATATTATCACAATGAAACCACATCAAGACTGACCAGAGAACCACTCAAGCACATAGCTCCACTAAGGGAATTTGTTGTTGAAACCTTAAAACCAGAGACACTCCAATCATAAACTGTTTCATGGAACAAGTCCGTACTTTTTATTTTTTTTCTTTTTATTTATCCTAATTCTTAATATAATACTATAAATGAAGTTACCTCAAATCTACTTTAATTTTAAACTGCTTATTAATTACATCTATCTAAGCTTAATATTGATAAATATTTAATTACTTTAATTATTTTCAGAGACAACACTCATTTAAACTATAATTTAATTACTTGAAAAAACTGTGCAACTATAAGATTGATAAATTATAATTTAATATTAAAATATTTAAGATGAAACTAAGATAGCGTAGTGCAATAAAAATTGAAACTACTTATGTATAAGTCTACACCGAAATCACATTGTTATAGAATATGTATTCTCAAACAATTACAATAAAAAAAAAAATATATCTATATCCATATCCATATATATATATATATACATATATAGGTATATTAAATAAAAAGGATGTCGTCTTTAAAAAATTATTATATTCCGGAAGTCACGTGTTGTATCCGCTACTGACTATTCACTTCGGTAAGTCAAAGTTTCCTATTGTCACTGCATCCGCTGTCGTTCGATATGTCAAAAAGAGGAAACCCAATGAATTGTCTCCATCATCACCACCGAAATCCGTTATATTAAGCTTAAACGACTATTTGAATGTATTTCAATGACAACCAAAGCATCCGGACCTCCGGTATGGCAGAATAAGAAATAAATAACATTTCATTTATTCACTATTCACTAAAGTGAATATACCTGCAAAAAATAAAAATTTATGAATATAAATGACAGGATATTTATAAATATATCTTATACTATGTAGATAGTAAACATTAACGGTAAATATGACGTTGATTTTGCTACCTTACAGCTTGTTACTTACGTGTATTTATATTACTGAGCTGTAGAATATACATAGATATTGACCATGGACTCATAAAAGAAGGTTGCCGTCGCAGTTGAGTAAATTAACAATTGAAATTGTTCGTTAAAATACGTCTAATAAAATAAAGGCATCGAAAATTCGAGGACAAAGAGATTACAGGATTTAAACTATTCACGGACAATGGTTGAGGTTTGTAGACCCGCATGTACCTGCTAGGAGTAACCAAATCTTTTATGCTCAGTTTGAATTTAAAATGCTATGGCAATAAAAATATAAAAGTAAAAGTTAGACTAATCCGGAAAGGATGAGAGTTAAAAAACAAATCATCAAAGCCCGCTCCCGGAAGTTTATTAGTCTGAAGTAAACTTAGACATCTTTGCCTACAATACATTACCATTTCCTATCTTCTCTTCTTCTTCTTCTTCTCTTCTTACTCATTGTACCTGGAAAATTGTAATATAAGTAAACGACGATCCAAGACAGCTGTATAATCTAAAAATATTTACCCTTCTCTGCTTTAGTTTCAATATACGGTTAAAATTTATTTTATTCTAAAATAAATATTATTTAGAATTTTGATTATAGTTTTAAAGTTCATATCATGTAAAATTATATTTTTAATTTTTTTTTTTAAATTATATCTAAGAAAATTCAAAATATCATCACGAGTGTAAATTAAAATTTATACTATTATATTTATCACTTGAAAAGTATTTAAAATGAAATCAAGAAACTGCTCATATATTTATACCCTAAATGATTTTTACTTAAACATTTTAATAATTCGAATTTCTATTTAATTTCATGGAAAATTTTTTAACAATTAATCCAATTCTTTTGAAAAAAATAATTCTGACGTTATTGCTTCTTCGTATAAATTAAACAAAAATTAGCAACGTGACAAATTTATTATCACACGATAAGATATGTAGATTAAATTATCAAGGAACATTTTCATAAATAATTTTCCTGATAAAAACGTGCTTGAGCAACTTAACTTACTGTTAATACAAGAATGAGGAAATTAAATATTTGTCAAGCTTTTCCAAGTTATTAACAGTCTGGCATGCACGCCTTTTTTACCAAAGACTTGTTCGTTATCTTTATAGTGGTTGAAGCTGCGTAGCATCACATTGCTTCCCATCTGTCAGTTAGAAAGAGAGAGTAAAGTGGCTGTAAAGAAATGAAATGTTATGGTTTTTTTTTTTTTTTTTTGAAAAGTAAATTTTATTGTTTCACTCAAAATACATAACAGAAATTTAATAAGTATAAAAATTACTTAAAAATACTTTAACATATCAATACTTCATGTAATTTTTACTAACTGGCTACAAGTTGTAGATCTCGTTAGTTATAAATATTAAATAGGATAATTTTATTATTACATAGTGTTAGATAAGAACATTAAATGTTGACATATGAAGTTTTTATAAGATGTAAAAAAACTATGGTGTAGAAAAATACATCTGACTTATTTGAAATGTTATGGTGTAAGGGTATAAACCTCCGATGAAGAACTGAAGAAAGCATCAGGGCGCGGCACGCTCGCATCACATCAAAGCATTGCCACGTCTTTAGTCGATGCATTTTGTAATATAAGAAGAAAAGTAAGAGGTGAGGACCGGTGTGTCCAACACCTGCCTTTGGTTTTCTGGTTCTTCTCTCTGATTACACTCCGTATTCAGTAGACTCACATGTAGACACGCGTGCTTTCGTGGTTCAAACAATTTCATACCTGAAAAAATATTAAAATATACAACACTTATAAAAATAATAATTCAATAGTTAGTGTTTAAAAATTTCTCAGTCTATCATTTTTAATTTCAGTTGTTTTGTAAGTTTTTTTTTATAGAATATTTTCTCATATTATTTCATTTATTTATAATTTTATACTATTAAAAAAATGAATAAAAATTATTATTAAGGATATTTATTAACATATTTAAATTTGCACATCAGTTCTTGGAATTGCATGATTGTAAGTGCTATTGTAATTAAATGTATAATAATACGTTTACAATTCCTCGCGAGTTTTGCTTAATTGTATCAAATATTGATTGTTATGATAAATTTATATAATTTTTACTTGTTTTAGTTATTGTTTTATTTTCTTAGGTAAAAAATTTTTATTAAAAAACCTAAATAGTGATGAATAAAAAAGCAACTTGTAGAATATGATATGAATGTATAGTAGGTAGACCTGCGTCAGGACGAACCGTTAAAAGGAACCAAATGAAATAAGATACAGATCCGTTTTTTTAAGCATCACCAGGTCATTGTCTATGGACTACGTATGATGTGACTCTGAAGGTATATTAGCGGTGATTTCTAGAGCCCACCATGACCCCAAGGACCAACGTAGAAGGCCAGTACACGGCGGCAATCTAGGTCGTGGACAGTCGCGAATTATCCCGATCTGCGATCCTTCCGCTGTTGGCAAATCTCTCTCCCACCGCAGGTACCTGTAACCATACTCTGCATCACCAGACTTGCGGTTCAGTGTTCTATTAGTATAGGTCTGGTTGAAGGTGAGGTCTGATCGGCCATTTGGCTTTGTATAATACACTCGATCCGAGCAGCAGCTCAAGCAATAAGTTGAGAACTCTAGCCTCTAGACTACATGTAATGGGTCCGTCACAATTGAGGGTCGTCGTAGGTATGTTGCAATAATAAATTTACCGCGTCTCTCGGTAGACAGCAGCACCGGTTGCCAGCTCACATGTTTTATTGAGTCTCTTAACATCTTAGGCCTCTGTTTCTGCCTTCTGCTTGGACTGGTATCTGGCATAGCTGAGTTACTTGATTGGTATATTTCTGTAATTTTAATTGTTAATCATCAGCATTCTATGATTTATTATATTGATTCATATTCATTGTAGGTAATATTTATTTAAATATTTATTTTATTCAATCAAACCCGAGATGGAAGACAATAATGAAAATGATGCTGGCACTAAGACTGGTGATCCAGGTGCAAGTCGGCATGGAAACTTTATCAATTATTACAAGTTTCATCCAGCGAACGAGCGTATTTGTCAACTTCCGCAGGGGCTGTGGTTATCTCCGGACGGGAAATACATCGGGCTTGATGTCGGCTGCAATGCCGGGGTGAGTTGAGGATACTGAGTATTATGGAGGATATAAAGTAAAGTAGAGAATCAGTCTCGTCATCATTAGGCTGTTAGTTGAGTTATATATACATATACATATGTATATATTTGTATACCGGACGGAAGAGGCTGGGTTGTACCAAGCACGCTGCATCCTGACTTCATTTATACTACAGCATTAAAACAACGTACTACTCTTTTTACTAAATTTAGATTAGACATGAATTAGTCATTTACTCATTCTTAGTTTACTTATTTCCTTTCATTTCTTTCTTTCTTTCTTTCTTTCTTAACTCAATATAGCATACGCACGCGCCATATCCAGCGCCACATCCTCAGCTAAATGACTGACTGACTGACTGACTGGTATGTAATGTGTCTGTTACCACTTACAGCCGTGTAGTATAAAAATAGAGGCCAGATTATTTTACTGGATGTTATGTTGGATAGAAGATAGGATAGGATAGGAGCCCTTCTTTCTTCTTGGGTGTTTTACTACACCGCAGACCCAGTTTATGAGACAACGACAACGATTCCGATGACGACGGTCCCTTTTTTTTTAATTTTTGAAACATGCCGTCTGTGAATTAATCTTGTCTATAAATAAAGAACCCTCTTTTTGCAGCCTCTGATTTATCTTCAAGGTCTCATAATGTCTCGCTTTTTTTCTTTCATTTATTTTTTTTATCTGAAATATATTTAGTCATAAATATACATTTTAATATAAAATTCCGTTTGTATTTTGATTACAGGAACTTACGATTCAACTGCGTAAATTTCTTCAAGATAATCTTACTGTAAATACAGATATAAGTCTACTGGGTATTGACCTCGATCCAATTTTAATAGAACGTGCACGTGAAAATAATACGTACCCACAATCAATAACTTTTGAATGTCTTGATTTTATGTTATCTCAAAATAGGGATGATATCATTAAAACTTATTTAAAAAAATTTGAGAAAAATAAATTCAATGTGATATTTTGTTTCTCTGTTACAATGTGGATTCATTTAAATCACGGCGATGAGGGTCTTGTTAAATTCTTAGAAGACATTTGCTCTTATACACAAATGCTCGTTATTGAACCGCAGACTTGGAAGTGTTACCGTAATGCTTCGAGAAGATTGAGACGTTCTAGGGAACAAGATTTTACATTAATAAACTCATTAAAATTAACTGGCGATATGGACAAACATATTGTGGATATTTGTACAAAAAAATGTAATCTTCAGAGGATTGCCATGAGCGAAGACAATACTTGGGGTAGAAAAATTCTAATCTTCAAGAGAAATTAATTCAATTAATTTTTTTTTTTTACAAATAAATCGTGATCAAAAAAAAATTTTTATATTAATTTGTATTTATTTAATAATAACTATCATGATACCTACTGATCAAAAACTTCCTCTTGAGAGTCCAAATAAATTTATCAAAAAAATTATTTTTTTCTAATCGTAAACTAAAAATTTTATAATTTTTTACGCTAAGAAGTTTTCTTCTTAAGCCTGAAGTTGAAGTACATATAACATTCATTGTCCTCAATCGTTAACCTCGTTACTACTCTAATAGATTAGTCAACATTAATTATTTAATTATTGTCACAGTCATCTTTGACAATTTTTGTACCAGTTGTATACATTTTGTAATAAGCGTTGCATAGTTGATAGATCATATCTAAATATATTTATTTAGTATCATTAGAAAAAAAAATAGATAAACAATTGATGTACATATATTAATAATGTACATCTATATCCAGATGTACTTGTATTAATGTATGGATTGTATATGTAGGTGCATTCATTAATAATAATAAAAAAAAAAAAAAAAAAAAAAAAAAAAAAAAATCGAAATAATACACAGTTAGAGAGAGAATCCGCATTAAACAAGAATAAGAATAATTTGGTTATAAAGGCGACACGAGAGGGCAGAAACGTACAACTAATTTAGTGTATAATATATATGTGGATGTGGAGTATGCTTCGTCACCAATACTTTCAGTAAGAAAGCTACACAATAGCCATGAATTCAGCGAGTAAGGTGAGTAAATAAAGATCGTAATATATAAATTATTACCTGCATTTGGGGTCTACTTCCGGGCCTTAGTCCCACTCTTTAAAATGCCCCACTGGTACCTACCACCATTTTGTCACACACCATTGTTAGTCACGTGTCATACATCCGAATCCCGCCTAAAATTCTTGCTTGCACTATTTTGTGTTTTCTACTGAGTAAAAATGGATGTCAATAGTGGTAGAAAGGTCAGGTTATGTTTACATTTTTATTTATTTTTCATTATTGTATTAATTTAAAGAAAATTTCTTCATTTAAATAAATGTACTTGAACTTATAAATTATTAGCTAGATCTTTAAATAGTATATTTTAATCATGAAAATTTATTTGTTTAGGTTGGTGAAATATTCACCGCTGCCGGTGCAGCTTTTAACAAACTTGGTGAACTGACAATGCAGTTGCATCCTACAACTGATTCGCCAGCTGGGTATGTTTTTTATGGTATAATTTATTTATAAAAAAAAAAGTGTTATTTATCATTTATTACATGTAAATAAAATTTGTTTTTAAACATGTTGTTTGAGGATACATTGACGCCATGTTGGACGCCTCGAGTTAATATTCTGGCGGGATATTTGAATAATTATATATTATGTTTATGAAAATTAAATTAGCCGACATCTAAGAATTTTTTTTTATTGAAAAATAATTTTTAAAAAATTAAAACAAAAATTTTTACATGTGGAAAATTTTAAAAATTATTCGTGGAATTTTTTAAAAATAGTTTTTTAGTTTTGATTTTTAATTTAAAAAAAAATGAAAAATTTTTTAGTGTCGGCTAACTTAATTTTCATATTATGTTTGTATTATTTATAAAAGCACTAATATATTTATTTATAGTTTATAAAAATGACTGATTACTAACTTTAAAATATTAAATCTTTAATTATTTTAACACAGTAAATGGACTGACGAGGAAATTGAAATGCTTCGTCACTCAGTTAAGACATTCAGCGAAGATTTACACAAAATAAGTGATCACATCAAGGGGCGAACGGTGTAAGTTGGTAAATTTAATAAGAAAATAAAATATGATCGTCAACTCTTGTGATATAATTTTGCTCTAGTTAATAAGTTATAAAATTAAATCTATAGAATTACGTTTTTTAATAATTAAACTCGATGGATGCTATGTTGAGTAAATCATGACAAAATTAAAAAGTATTATTGATGTTATTTTAAATTAAGAGATTTTTATGAAATGAAATGAAAGCAAATAAATATTTTGAAAATTTTTAATAAATCAATCAAAAATTATAATTATAATAAAAGAGTTTCATAAGTCGAAAGCGATAATTATTCAGATACTTTACTTTGAATACAATGTTTTAAAAGCTTGAAAATTTTTCTCTAAATTCAACCTAAAAAAAACTAATTCATTAAAATGAAATAAATGACAAATGAGTATTTTATTTTCTAAATAGTTTGAAAGTTACTGGTCGAATTTACTTCGAAATCATATAAGATCATTGTCTTAATGAACGCGTAGCATCATTCAATTTTCTACGTCGCAAATAAGTCATAATTAAAATAAAACTTTTGTTGGATTTATTTCAGATCGCAAATAAAGACAGGCTTGAAGAAAAAAGTGTTTGAAGAAGCGGGTGTACCTATAGCAAATAGACAACCGGCGCAGCAAAATATTCAAATAAAAAAACAACCTAGTGCTACAACTAATCAAGGATTAATGAACACATCAGCTGAAGTAACATTAAACATGTTGAATGCAACTGAATCAGAAGTTGACGTTGAAGGACTTCCCGAAGAATGTCAAGTTAAATTGGAATTCGAGGGAGCTACTGAAGAAGTAGCTTCTTAACTATGCTTTCTTCACTAATTAATTTATAAAGTATATTAAATATCCGCTATTTTTATACTTGAAAATTGATGATAAGAAGAAGTTAAGTAATTTTAAATGTAATAATATAAATTCTTTTATTGTAAGTGTCGGTAAATTTATAAGTAAAATTATTTATCCATTTATATAGTGATTCTCAACATATAATTATTAAAGGCTTGTAAATTATAAATCATCTAGACTTATCATTAATTTAAAATCAATAAACTTTTTTTAAAATTACATTTTATAATTAATTACTGTAAGGTACATGCGCTAGTGATTTACCTTGATGCATGGATGTGTACTAAAATAGAATAAACAAGTAGTGGTCTCTGGCGATGATACACAATATAAAAAATGGCGATATTTTTTCTCAAGAGTACTGATGGAAAAAAAACTGTCATCTAAAATCACTTTTTGATCTATTTCACTCGCCACACCTTAAAAATTAAGTTATAATATTATTTTATAAATAAACATTATTACTAATTATTTTTATTGAGTATTATAAATATAATGGCAGCAGTAACTGAAACTTTGACATTAAAAAATGGTAAGGAAATATTTTTTGCTCCAATTACTTAGTTTCTATTTTATATTTATTTTATGATTTTTAATTATATGTATTAACAATAAATAAAAATATTTACATGTTTTTAATAAGTATTATTTAATTTTAGATGTAGATCGTGCAATAGAATTATTGGATAAACTTCAAAAAAGTATGTATTTATTTATTTTTGTTATTACTGTTTTATTTAATTATTGTTGTGACTACTAGCTGTTTATTATTGATTTTTTTAGTATTATTATGCTAACTACCGTGATTTATTATTAAAATAGGTGGTGAAGTGCCAAGTACAAAATTAGCAGCTTTACAAAAAGTACTGCAGAGTGATTTTCTAAATGCTGTAAGAGAAGTTTACGAACATGTTTATGAAACTGTTGATATACAGGTAAATATTTTTTTTTTTTTGAAAATATTAATTTTTTTTCATTAGACTATTTAATTAAATTCTTAACAAATAAAAAAAATATTAATATGTGTGAGCATGTACAAGAAAAATTTTCCATTTTATTATTTTTAAAAATATAGTTTTTTTTACTCTATTACAAAATAAATCTTTTACTCAGAAGACTAAAGCATTAAATATTTAAAAGCCTCGATTTTAGTCAAATAATTGATTAATAAATGAAAATAATTTTTCATAGGGGTCCCAAGATGTAAGAGCATCAGCTACTGCAAAAGCAACAGTAGCCGCATTTGCAGCAAGTGAAGGACATGCTCATCCACGAGTTGTAGAACTTCCAAAAACTGAGGAAGGTCTTGGATTCAATGTGATGGGTGGTAAAGAACAAAATTCACCTATTTATATATCAAGAATTATTCCTGGAGGTGTTGCTGATAGACACGGTGGATTAAAACGTGGTGATCAATTACTCTCTGTCAATGGAGTTGTAAGTAATCAATGAATATTCATAAATTAATTATATCCATCTAATATTAATTACTTGACATTAGGGTGGCGCAAAAAAACCGACTATTTTTTTTTTTCAGTCGAGTGAAAAAATGTCAGCTTTTGATGTTTTAAGAGTTCTCTCCAAAGAACAGCTCAAAAAAAAATTTGTAAGAGGTCGCGCTCCAAATTTTTTTTAAATTTAAAAAATCAAAATTTTTTTTTTTTTTAATTTTTTTTTCTCGTTACGTCATAATTTTATAGACAAAAAAAAAAATAAGTTCCTGAAAGTTTCAATTCAAAATTAAAATTTTTAAAGGTCGCTCATAATTTTTTTTAAATTTCAGAATCAAAAAATGCTAATCCAATTAAATAGTCACTAATAAATTAAAAAAAAAAATTTGGAGCGACCTTTTAAAAATTTTTTTTTAAGCTGTCCTTTGGAGAGAGCTCTTAAAACATCAAAAACTAACATTTTTTCACTCGAGACAAAAAAAAATAGTCAGTTTTTTTGCGCCACCCTACTTGACATAGTAAATTATAAATTACTAATACATTTTTTACAATTATTTATCTAGTGTGTTGAAGGTGAAAACCATGAAAGAGCAGTTGAATTACTGAAACAAGCTCAAAGTTCAGTTAAACTAGTAGTTCGTTACACACCACGAGTTTTAGAAGAAATGGAATTGAGATTTGATAAACAACGAGCTGCTCGTAGTAGGCGTCAAAATGTGCAATAAATTTTATTTTAAAAATATCTTGATTCATTTCTCTCTCTCTCTATCTCTCTCATTTTTTTCTCTTTCCATATATTTATATAACATAATTCATCTTGATTGATTTAATCATAGATATATGTATATGCATTTATAATTACACATTTTTTCATTTCATTCACATTATTTATTATTTATGATATGATACATTTGAAAATATTAATAGTGTTATTAATATCAATGTACTATGTGTGATCACCTGAATTAAAAAAAAAAAAAGATTTAGAACGACAAAACAAATGCTATTGGCTACCACTAAATCTTTCAAATTCTATCTTTTATGGATATTAACACTAAGTTGTTCTGAATCCTTTTTTTTTAATCGAGGAAAAATAAAATTAGTTAATTAAAAGAAAAGTTATATCTTCGATTAACAAATAAATTAAATCATTAACAACTACAATTGAATTTTTTTTTAATTAATAATGCCTTTTATTTTATGTTGAAAATTATTTTTTTTTTTTTTTTTTTTTTGGATAAGGCAATTAAAAAAAAACTCATACATATCACATGACTTTTTTTATTTAATAGATGAATTATTAAATAAAATTTAAATTTTTAAGCAAAATTACGCAGCCTTAGAATTAAAAAAAGCTCAAATAGTTTAAACGCTACTGATATAAAATTATTATAGCTAGTATTTTACTAATATTATTATTGAATAAATATTTTATTTGTTCTATAAATGAAGAAAAATCATTATTCATAATTCTGAATTATGACTTTCAAGTACATCACCAATATTTATTAATTTTAATGAATAATCAATTCTATTTCTCTCTTTTATTTTATTACAGAAGTTACATAATGAAATTGGACTAATTATAATTCATTGATATGTTGAAGTTACAGAATTATGTATGTCTCAGGATTCAATTTTTATTTAATTTGGAACAAAATATTTGAATGAAATTCAAACTTTCAATCAACTATAACTATTTTCGACTGAAGAAATCGACAGTCTAAATATATTCCATTTGAATCATAGTTATAAGTAATAGCAAAAAGTATAATTGATAATTTAATATTTAAAAATTTTAAACATTTACCCATATTATTTTATTTCCCAAAATAAATCCAACGATGTTAATATTTTTTTAATTTGTTCATGTATCTAATCATAAAAAAAACTAGACAAGTATTTATTATTTTTTTTTAAGATAAAAATAACTAAACTTAGTTTTTTATTTCTTCTGTTGCGTATTTATTATTTCTAGTATGATGAATAATTAAAGTTATGTTTATATAAAACTCTAAAAATGTCGTAATAAAAGCGCGTAAATTTAAATTAATAAAAACTTTTTAAAAATTATTTAGATAGTATAAATAAAGTTTGTTAAAATCTTATTAAATTGAATTTAATAATTATAAAGCTAATTATTGATTAAATTTTAAATTAAAAAAAAGTTACCGCATTTTCTATTGTTCTGTCGATCGAGTGTGGATAAAAACTAGCCCTAATGTAAAAATTCATTTCTATGTGTATCAGTTTCTCATTTCTCATGTCTTATGTTTTGTCTGACCGTGTTGTGTTATTTAATGACATTTGCAGCAAGCTATCACAAAAATAAAAAATATATTAAACTTTTTATTAAAATAATCACACATTGAAGATAAATAAATTTATAACTATGGTATTAAACGAAGTAGAAACTTTAGTTTACGAGCTTGAAAAATCTGAGTTAGAAGTAAGTATTGTATTTCGCAATATTATAGGTTATATTTGACCGGTTATTTTATATATTACTTTCTAAAATACACAACATTATATTATTTATTACAAGCTTGATGACATATTAAGTCATTATTATTCACCCATTAATGAATTATAAATCTTTGTTTATAGTGATAAACATTGTAAGTATAATAAATTAACTGACAATAATTATTTTTTCAGGCGCCTAATGGTTGTGCCTCACCACAAACTTATGCTCAATTATTAGCTGTATATCTTTATCAAAATGATCTTTGCAATGCTAAGTATTTATGGAAAAGAATACCAGCGAGTATTAAAAACAACAAGACTGAGCTCCAACAGATTTGGATTGTCGGACAACGAATGTGGCAGAGAGACTGGCCAGCTGTTCATACAGCTTTAGACATTGAATGGACTGATGAAGTCAGTGGTATAATGCTTGCCTTGAAAGGTAAATAATACATACTAAATGTCATTTTATAAAATTAATTATTAAAATATTATTTATTGTTTAATTAACAGAAAATGTTCGTGAAAGAGCCATGTCACTTATTTCTGAAGCTTACTCGTCTGTTAACCTGACATTACTTGCATCAATGACAGGTTTGTCATTAGAACAAGCTAAATTGTCAGCATCGGAACGTGGATGGATTCTCGATGACACCACAGTGAGACCTTGTAAAGTAGATAAAGAACAAACACCAGTCCAAGCTTCCCTTACAGAAAGTCAACTAAACAAACTTACGCAATTTGTTTCTTTCTTAGAGAATTAAGAGTAATTATAAATTATATAATAAGTAAAATATAAATTTTCATGATTATTAAATTAATACTATTACATTAATTACAATGATTTAATACGTCTTTCAATATAAAAGTCCTAAACGAGTAAGTTTTAATAAAAATAAATACTTAAAGGCATTAATTAGTATTAAAATACATTTGATAAAATGAGGATTTAAACATTTAAGTATTTGTAATATAAGTAAAATCTTTACTACATAGCGAAGCGCAAATTATTAAAAAAAATTATAGATGACTATAAATAATAAAATTTAACTGTCAGTGGCGTTAATTTAACCAGCTAAAGCTTAGTTAGTTTGAAACATGGATTATCATAGTTGTTACGAGTTAATGTAAATATTTTTGCCAGATAAAAAGTATTTCCACACTACAAAGTCACCAAGTGTGGGGGTATATTAAAGTATAGACTGAGAAGAAAACTTGAAAGGAAGATTGAGACTACGAAGAACATATACGAGGTGACCCAGGAGGAGAAGTGAGGCAAGAAGTGATTCTCTGACTGCCGTCGGCATCATCGTGACCTCTTGGCGTTGTATGGCACGGAAGAGGCTTCTTTACCATCATCGTCATCCATGTATATATATATATATATATATATTTTTTTTTTTTTAGTATTTATATATAAGCGCATATACGTAAGTGTATTAATGTCTATGGTAAATGTATGGTGAAGTAAAGAAACGACCTTTGCGCTCGGTACTCGCTCAGTACCTATGACTCGAGTCTCGAGAGCGTGCGCGCATCTTTCTAGGATTTTACTGGCAAGTAACTTGCACTCTGGCACCGTGCTCCAAGTATAAAGTAATGACTCGATACCATGCGGATTCTTTACAGCTCGGGCATATACCATGGTGTATACCAACACGGGAACGCATTAGACAAAACTCCCGAGGTATACGAGGATATATTCACCACGACATCGTGATGACGAAATCATTATTCCGTGTGGCACGCACCCCGTGTCTATAAACGATAGACTCTGTCTCGAGTAAGAGCCGACGAGAGAGAAGAAAAAGTAGCATGTCTGGGGGTTTGACTAGGAGGAAAGTTGGGTACAGGAGAATGAACGTCATGCACCTCGAAGAGAGCGCGTTATCTCACGTAGCTAAGTGCTCAGTGGTGATGTCGTAATACGACATCATCGAGCGTTCAAAGATTCAGGGCGGTGCGGGTTCGTTCGTTGGCTTGCAAGAGGGCTCGTTCGATTGTTTCGTTATCGCGATCATCCTCGCTCCTTCGCCAACGGGTCAATCTACCGCTCTCACCTGGTGTTTTATTTTTCATTCTTTTCCTTTCCCTCTTCCTCTCTCTCTCTCTCTTTCCCTAATCCTCTCACTCTTTTATACTCTCTCAGCCTTGCAACTAGAGAATAAAATAGTAAAAGAGCTTCTACGAATGAATATGAGGTGCGCCTAGACATAGCTCATTCCTCTGTGCCGACGGCGATAACGCCTCCTCTTCATCAGAAGACATCTAACAACAACAGCAACAACAACAATAACAACAGCAATATCAATGCTCTACAATCCCATTTAGTAAGTATATAACTTTTGATCCTTTGAATCATATAAAAATAATAATAATAAAATCAGCATCTCGACAATATGATTTTTCAATGTATCATTGTTGAATTGTTGAATTGTAGGCAGTATTAAACTCTTTGGTAAGCCCATCGACTAGGATGACTAGATATAAAAAGCGCTTGCGAGGTAGGCCAGCCGAATTACTTTCCCTGCAGGCGAAAGCCACACCATAAATTACACAGATTTATTTATATATATGCATGGGATATATATTAATCGAAAACCCGTCGAACCAGGATTCAATCGACGTATGAATTTATACCTCATATACATGAATAAATATATGCTTGTGTTATTAATTTTTATTTTTAAAAAGCATATACTCACTAGTTAATTTAAGTAGGGATATGTAATGGGTAGTATGAATCTGAGAACTCACATCTACTAAGCCTGTTATGTTCTCTTTTATATGTATAAACATTTTTTTTTTTTTGTTTTAATTATTTTGTTTTTAGAATTAAGTTACTGGAGAGCAGATAAGAGAGCTGATGAACAGACGGCCTTCGTTGTCAGCAAGTCTGAGTGACAATTATTTATGAAGATCGCCGTGAACATCATGGTGAACGTCGTTGCCGATAACCCTGTGCAAAATGTGGCAAATATAACAGCAGCAGCAGCAGCAACAACAATAATAATAACATAAACGTTGCTGGGATTAGTAACAGCTACGGGGTCGAGCAGGGCTACAACCACCGGGGCTGAATGTCTACATGCACATCTTATCTCTTTTCTTTTTTATTTATAATACTCAATAGTTAATAGAGTATTTGATGCTAGCTATGCAGTGACGGTAAAAACTAAGACTCCTCGTGCAATTTCACAACAACCTGGCACTCCGCTGGAGCGAGAGAAATATCTGAAAGGTGCAGGTTACAGACGACGACGAGAGGTGAGGCCATGGCAATAGGCTACAAGCCCTCGAGGAGACTCTATAGGTACTACTCTGTACTCTCTATGTTACATAGTATAAATACTAACATGTATATCTGTATTCCTCGATATGTATTCCTCGGCACGCTGTTTGATGGTGCACGAGTATATCCCGGGAGGCCGATGGAGAGCGAGGGGAATTGAAGAACCGAATAAGATGCTGGTGCCTTGAGGTGAATATACATACATATATATATATATATATATATATATTTTACCAGAGAGAACGGAATATGGGATCACCTCGGGTTAGGGTTCGCGGGATGCTGCGCCCACACTTCTATTGTTTCTCTTTCTTCATTTTTTAACCCGTTCCTTTCAGCCAAGCTGCACTATGCAGTATTGTATTGTTATTGTAGTAGTGAGTGCCGACAAATCTAAGCGAGAGTATCAAGTAATGGTTGATACGCTCAATGTGCATAGTAAACCGAGTTCATCTCTACCTCACCAGGAAGTCTTTTGCTTCTTTTAACTTTTTAATTTATCGATCGAGTCATGGCTGTTTTATATGAACAATACAATGCATCTATTCTGTGATGTAATAGTATATATATTTCAAAAAATGATAATTGTCCTGAAAATTATATTAATTAAAATAATTTAAGTCGATCCTATGACATTTTAAAAATATTTATTACAGAAATTAATTACCTGGGTGATATTTTCAACTGATTGAATTTATTTAGACAATTGAAATTATCATTTTGATTAATTATTAATTATAATAAAGAAACTTTAAAATAAGCTCTTCTAGTAAATAATTTAATAAATTATAAATTTTATAAATGTCAGTAGTTAGTATCAAATAACTATCAGACACTCTTATCTTCTTGAGAAAATTACGATTCAATGATAATATGTGTGGTCCCTTTTGATACTGGAGCACAAGTAATAACAAAGCGCTAAAGATCTTGACGAAAAGAGAGAGAAAAAGAGTTAGATCTAACTCTAATCGTTCACGCGCAGAAATCGTCGGTGTCCCACTTGAGTGGAATGGAATAGCGTGGGATAGGCCCTTGGGAGATGATAATTATACGTCGCACTAACAGCTCTGGGCATTCGTATTCGCATCAGTATTCACTCGTAAGTAATAGTAGCAGCAGCAGTAATAGTAATAGTAGTAGTAGTAGTAGTAGTAGTAGTAGTAGTAGTAGTGTAAGAGCACGACTTGCGGCGTTTGCATGCTTCGTAAGCTTATCTTATTAGATAGGTGTCTTTGATTCTTTTGTAGATTTAAACATTTACGATCGTTGGATGTTGGATCGTTTGCAGAAGCCAGAGAGCAAACCACGAGGTTACTATGATGTATGGCATGACTTGTTGAGATTTCCGTACAGGTTTAGAGGGTAACAGATAATATATATCTGTATATACGTACAGAGTAAATCTGCACACACATTTACGTGTATGTAAGATACATAAGAAAGAATAAGAAGAAACAGAAAACTAGCAGAGGTAAAGCATTCAGGTCGTGGAGTAGTTGTCGTCTTGACTTGGCTGTGACTATTCGTACCTGCAATCTGCATACTTAACAGCATCTGGATATATACGATCCAACAACTACCAGCCGATGAACCACGACTTGACTGTTACCTCTCACCTCGAATGCGTTGCTCTCAACTGTGGTACACGTAATCCTTGTCTTCTTTAACGCTCCAATAAAATCCAACATCGATTCTTAAAGCTTTAATTTATATTTTATATAAATATAAATGGATTATTTATCTAAATTACATTGCACCAACACAGCGTAACTGTAAATAATAATAATTGAGTAAATACATCAATTCATCTTTAATTTATTTGTTTAATATACATAATAAATAAATAACTATTTTATTTCGATATTGAAATTAACAGACATCTGATAATTTTTTAAATTTTTTTACCAAATAAATTATTTTAAAAAAAAACTCTGCATGGAGAAATTTTAATTTATTTTTTGATATTTTTTAAATAAAACCGCAAAAATGGTCAAGTGTCTGCTGATTTCTAAATCAGATTTAATCTACTTAACTTAAAAATCTGATAGTTCGTGGTGTCGTTACTTGTTAGAATTTAAAACAAGTCTTAATTGTACAAGTGATAAAATTTTCACTTTTGTCCACTTATCTGGCAGGTATCATCATCTTGGATATTATCATTAACATCATAATCGTTAGCTGAGATAGCAATTAATGGAATAGAGTGTCCATTTAACTTAATGGAGGGATTCTTTATCCTTAGTTTATTTATATTGAAAATGATGTCTTGGTCTTCGTCATCGTAATCATAATGATAATGATGATAATCGCGAGAGAAGACGTCGCGTGAGAGGAGTAAATACACAAAAGACTTAGTACCACGGTGTGGGAATGAAATTGGCCCCGCGGCGGCTGCGCGCACAGCGCGAGATTTACTATAATATGATAATAGCTGCAGGTAGGCAAAAGGCACTCCCCATAGACCACACGAGA